ATATTATACGAATAATAACAAATAATAAAAATTACAATATTTAAAGTAATTCAACGTTCTTGTATGCAAAGATGTATGGAGAGTGCAAAAATCTCTTGATCACTCACGATGACAGGAAATTTTCGGAAATAGAGGCAGGTCGAGTTTGTCGTCTATGTATAATACTGGTCGCGAGTATGCGAGCACAACACGAGCAAGTTTGTTCGTCTTACAGCCGTCTTACACCGTAATACGCTTCGTCTATTGAAGTTGTAGTTCACATTTGACAAGCGAACCAACGATCAGGGAATCCGTTTAATTAAAAATTAAACGAACACACGGCGAGTTCATTTGATTCTTACATCCGATTAAAATTAACCCGCGCAAATTGATTGGGGATGAAAATGTCTCGCGCGAGGTAGAACGATGTCAGCGATTAATAATAAAAACGCGGGTGTACATATCGCGAATAAACGTGCCCGTTTCCTAGCCGATTAATCATTCAAATCGGCACTATTCTCGACGTAAGTAGAAAGATCGTGTTTCTTTTAACGATGTGACACTTACTAGAACGGTTATCGTGTCGTGTCACTGTTACTTATTAATATCCATGATTGTAAAACGAACGTACGGATTTACGACGTAAAAATGTGGTGATAACAAGAACATTTAATAATAATAATGGATAATAATATTTACAAATAATATGAATAATATAATTATAGTCGTATATTATAACAATATAATAATACTAATAATACTAATAATACTAATAATAATAATATAATATACTAATTATAATAATATAATAATATAATAATATAATAAATACTAAATACTAATATAATAATATATTAATACTATAATAATGTAACAATATAACAATACTAATAATAATATAATAATATAATAATACTAATGATAATATAATAGTATAATAATACTAATAATATAGTAATATAACAATATAATAATACTAATAATAATATAATATAATATAGATACTAATAATATACTAATAATATAATATAGATACTCGTATTCGTAACATAATAAAAACATTTACAACACGTATAATAATAACAAGAATAACAACAATACTCAACTTTTAAGTTGTAAAATAACATTGTAATACGTGTTAATATTAAACGATGTTATATATTATGTATAATTAATATTATACAGTGATATTTTACTTAACTTCTAAAGTATAATATAATAACATCTAAATAATATTCTTGTAATAAAAATGTGTAATAATAACAATAATAATAATAAAATTTATGTCTTCTACAATTATCATATACAGATATAGAAAAAGAAATTATTGGACACAGTTACTATACTCTGGCCGCCATTGTAGCCATTATACTGTATAAACCTAACCTAAAACCTAACCTAAACCTAAAATAAAACCTAACCTAAACCATAATATCCAAGGGTTACTAATAATGATTTGAGAATCACAGTAATTTCGTGACAATTGCAATACAATTATAGTAATTGTAATGTTCGTAATGAATTTTTATTCAAACAATTGTTATTATTGTAAAATTTATAATGAATCTTTAATCAAGCAATTATTAATAAAGAAAGAAAAAAAGAACATGAATTATACTCGATCAAATTTAGTTTTTCGAATCGAAGGAAATTTAAATTAATTTCCAATAAAAAAAAAAAAAAGAGAGAGAGAACGAACTATATTCGATTTCAATTACGATGAACTCGTGAATACGTATATAAATTGAAATGTACGTATCGACGAAGTGTGTTTGCCACGAGCGTAAGACGATCGATTTTTGGATGTTCGTTTTCGCGATTCGTTCGATCAATTTTTGAGTTGCCGAATTCCACCGGTCCGATTGATCATTCCGAATCGTTTTGCGACTCGGTGGTGTCACCTGTCGCCTGTCACTTCGCTGTCTGATTATTTTTCGGAAGAAGTAGCACGGCGAATACGATACCGGGACTAAAATAGAATGTTTGCTCGGACGTTTCATTGGCATCTCGATTTACAGAGTAGAGAAAGAAAGAAAAAGAAAAAAAGAAAGAAAAACACAAAAGAGAATAGTAAATGTTCGTATCGTGAAAATTATCGTAAAAGAGACTCGATTGAAAGTGGATAGTTGGAAAGAAATTGCGGGAATATTTAATTTAACTGAAATTTATTTTAAGATTTATTAGAAACTTATTATTTGTATATATTTATTATTATTTTTTTAAATATAAATTTATATATTTATTATATTTATTACATAATAAATATATTATTATAATATATTGTTATTTTTATTACATATAAATTTGTTTTGAAATTTATTATACACATTTATTATAAAGTTTATTGAAATTTAATATAAACTTTATTTCGAAAGTTATTTCCAAACACTTTATTAAATACAACTTTTGGTTTTTATTCGTTTATTCCGTACGTTATTTTTTAATCTTTTCGCCATCATTACAGTTTGATCATTGTCGTCTCGAAAACATTCACGAATTGAAAAATTGTTGAAAATTGCCCTCGAAAGAATTTATCGACATGCAAGTTTTCATCAAAATAGAATAATAATAGAATTCCAAAGTTTTTATGAAAATAGAGTACTAATGGGATTTAATAAAATTCTTCTGTTTCATCAGCTAACTAATAATAATATTAATGACAAATAAAGTAACAAGATGAAGACTTTCTTACTATAATTTAATAACCATACAATAGTTATATAATTAAGTGACAAATTAATGAAATGCAAGATGACATGATAAATAAACAAAATTTAATATAATAAACATAAATATAAATTTATATAATATATATTAATTTATATAATAAACATAAATAAACAAAATTTTTTTCTCCCGTTACCCTATTTTTCTTTCGTTCCTCCTTCATTCTGTTTTCTTCATCTCGAAAAAAAGCCCCCTCCCTCCCCAGCCCCTTTCACGTCTGTCGATTTCTAACCTAAAACCCGGAGAATATCAGTTCTCAGAGCGAGCAAAATCCCTGGGAGACCGAACTAATCCCTAGTTGAGAAACCGATCCGCCCCGATACTACGATCGTCCCTATTTCTCCCTGGCAATTTATGGTCCTTTTGTCTAAGGAACCTGCCACCCCTCGAGTTTCGTTTGGGGAACGACCCAAACGAAAAGCTCACAAAAGAAACCTGATTTCTTCTACGAGAATGCATTCCTAGCGCACGGATTGCTTGACGAATTTGCCAACATTTGAATCATTTAAATGCAGCTTGAATCACTTCGATTCTACATTTCAGCGTCTTTTATATTGTAAAGCGAATAAAATGGTGAATTCCTAGTTTACCGACGTCTCATCCAATTTTGAATGAAAAACAATCGAGATTGGAATTAAAATTTTTGAAAGCTTTTTTTTTTAGATCCTTCCAGGCTTTTTTTTTAGATCCTACACGGTATAATTCATTTGCAAGAATGCAGATACTTCGAACCAGTGGTAACGTTACGGTAAAATTTATTTTTAAACATCAGCAGGTATGCGATGAAAGAATTAGCATCTGCTAATGTGCAAGTTCTGTTACTTGCTTCATTACCGTAAGTCCATTACAATTTTGAAAAAAACCCTGTTCGACAACGTCGATAAATCGCGCGTATTTAATGCTAATATATCAGCTGATAAGATCTTAACACATGCATATCAGCTGATTACGCAAGAAGATAATAAGCTTATCCATAAACGATACACACAATGAATTGAATCACGAAGCTGTACAATATAAAAAGAGATTCGAAATAGATGTTATCTAGTTTGATAATTGTTCTACGAATATAGCACAGGCATTTTATAGTGGAATGTATAATACATAATATATGTATATGTGTGTGTACATATATGATGTACAATTTGCAATATATATTTTTAATAAAAGAAAAAGTGTCAGAGATACAATACAGAATTTGATAGAAGTATCAAAGATGAGTGTAATACAATATGTAATACAATAATAATATAGTATTTTATAGTATAATAATATATATATATATATATATATAGTAATACTATACTATAGTAATACTATATATATTATAGTAATATACTATAAGTAATATACTATATGTAATATACTATAAGTAATATACTATAAGTAATATACTATAAGTAATATACTATAATATACTATAAGTAATATACTATAGTATAATATACTATAAGTATATATATTACTTAAGTATAATATACTATAAGTACTATACTATAGTAATACTATATAGCATTATATATATATATATAGTATTACTATAGTATAATATAGGATAATAATATAGCATTTTATGTAATAATATAATAATATAGTAGAGTATATAATAATATAACAATATAATAATATAATAATATAGTAGAATATATAACAATATAATAATATAATAATATAGTAGAATATATAATAATATAACAATATAATAATATAATAATATAGTAGAATATAATATAATATAATACAATAAAAATATGATATATCACATGATATAATATTTCAAATTAATATATAATGTAATGTATACATGGTGTATGTATATGTACATTGTAATGTACATATATTTATATTATAATGTGTATATATATATATATATATACTGTAATATATAGTATATGTATATTGTGATACATATGTATGTACATTGTAACGTACAATGTACAATACACATAGATATATTATAACGTATAATATATAATGTGCGTATAATATATTGTCAATAAAAAAACAAGAATCAGATATACACAATAATCAATATAAATTTCTCAGATAAATTCAGTTATCTCTATTTATTGTTATTAGTCCAATAATTGTATCTGCGCTGTGTTGTTAATTATGAATAAAAAAAAAAAAAAAAAAAAAA